GAGACCCGAACACTAAGATAGAAATAGATTGAGATGGAGACCCATAGATTCACACAGAGGCCAATCGACTCAAAGCGAGACCGATAGACTCATATAGAGACCCACAGACTCATATAGAGACCCATAGATTCACACAAAGGCCCATCGACTCAAGGCGAGACCTATAGACTCATGTATAAACCCACAGACTCACACAGAGCCCCACACACGCATATAGAGACCCACAGACTCATAGAGACCCGTAGACTAAGAGAAATATAAATGTATATGGAGACTTACATAGACTTACATAGAGAGCCATAGAAAAATATAGAGACCCACTCACATAGAAACTCGTAGAATCACATAGAGCTCCATACACTCACACAGAAACCCATAGACTCACACAGAGACCCATAAATTAAGGGACCAATAGATTCACATGGAGAATCACAGACTCACACAGTAACCCATCGACTCACAGAGAGAGCCACATGCTTATAGCCCTGTATCAGTCAGTCCCTCCAGAAAAACGCGATTATGCGATCGCAAGATTCCACGCAAAATCAGCCAAAGTCCGCATATTTATACGGGGGGCGCGTTTTTTCAAATACGCCGCACTTTTGCCGCATAAATTGCAGATTTCCGCGCGCAAAATATGCGGGCTTGCATGATTTCATAATCCCCGCATTTTCGTTGCAAAAAGTCACATATATCTTAGCAGAAAGTTGAAAAATGTTGCGTTTACTTCACACAAGCGCAGCCATTTCCCCTGTTGCCATGGGAACGCTATGAAGTGTTAGAGGCTACGTAGTTAGTTTTATTCAGGAGTTTATGCAACTTTACAGTTGTAAGATTGCACTTTTTTGTTAGTAGTATGTAAATTTACATTACTGTAAGACTGTACTGTTACTGTATTGCTTACGTTACTGTGCACTGAAAACACTTATTTTAACAGAAGATGTCTGTTTTGTATAGCTACCTCTGTAAAACAGGAAGCACACATTTTATTTTTTATATTTTATTTATTCATTTTTACAGAAGTTGTAGCATATTCATTTTGTAAAGCTACAGAACTTGTTCGACTTAATGTTTTGTAAGTTTGAGCCATCTGTTTGTTAAGGTCTGAAATAAAACAAGATGAGAACTTAAATATTCCCAGCACTTTCTGTGATGTAGTATGCTTGCTTATCATAGGAAGTAATAAGAAATGACTCTTTACATTAAAGTAGTAGCCTAGTGAATAGGGTGTTGGGGGAATCACTTTTTTTTCTCTTTTTCATCAAACCGCAGTTTTTGCAAGTTCCCGCAATTTAATCGCATAAAATTGCATAAATATCCCGCATATTCCATCGCATTTTTTAAGAAAACGTGCCGCATAATCAACGATTTTTGCCCGCAACAATCACCAAAAAACTCCGCGTTTTTCTGGAGGGACTGATCAGTAGAACATCGAGACTCATAGACTTGACTTAAAGACCCACAGACCCTAGGGGGCAGAGTAACCTGAGCGAGAGACCCAAGTGTTAAGCTCAGCCTCGAGTTGGTAGTCGTCAGTTTGCTGTCCCCTAGCGGTGCAGAGCCTCAGCCGTCCGCGCTATCGACTCGGTTGTGGAGATGTTAACTACCTCGCCTGGTATACAGGAGGTCGTGGGTTCGATCCCGATCCTGACGCCTGCTGTATATTTGGAGTTTGCGTGTCTCTCTCTCTCATCATCACGGTGGCTATGAGATGTTAACTACCTCGCCTGGTATACAGGAGGTCGTGGGTTCGATCCCGATCCTGACACTTGCTGTATATTTGGAATTTGCGTGTCTCTCATCATCATCACGATGGCTAGATGTTAACTACCTCGCCTGGTAAACAGGAGGTCGTGGGTTCGATCCCGATGCTGACGTCTGCTGCTGTATATTTGGAGTTTGCGTGTCTCTCTCTCTCATCATCATCACGGTGGATAGGAGATGTTAACTACCTCGCCTGGTATACAGGAGGTCGTGGGTTCGATCCCGATCCTGACGCCTGCTGTATATTTGTAGTTTGCGTGTCTCTCATCATCATCACGGTGGCTAGGAGATGTTAGCTACCTCGCCTGGTAAACAGGAGGTCGTGGGTTCGATCCCGATCCTGACGCATGCTGTATATTTGTAGTTTGCGTGTCTCTCATCATCATCACGGTGGCTAGGAGATGTTAGCTACCTCGCCTGGTAAACAGGAGGTCGTGGGTTCGATCCCGATCCTGACGCCTGCTGTATATTTGTAGTTTGCGTGTCTCTCATCATCATCACAGTGGCTAGGAGATGTTAACTACCTCGCCTGGTAAACAGGAGGTCGTGGGTTCGATCTCGATGCTGACGCCTGCTGCTGTATATTTGGAGTTTGCGTGTCTCTCTCTCTCATCATCATCACGGTGGCTAGGAGATGTTAACTACCTCGCCCGGTATACAGGAGGTCGTGGGTTCGATCCCGATCCTGACGCCTGCTGCTGTATATTTGGAGTTTGCGTGTCTCTCTCTCTCATCATCATCACGGTGGCTAGGAGATGTTAACTACCTCGCCTGGTATACAGGAGGTCGTGGCATTGAATGTCTCTCTTGCTCTCCCCGTGGTCGCGTCCTCCGGTTTATCCCTCTACATTTATAATTATCGAGCGTTTTGTGCGTTTGGCTGCTATACATTTTCACAGGATAATTCACGTGGTTGAGCTATTCTTTGTGGCCAGGTCGCTTCTGAAAAATACCTATAGTGTGGTTCAGCGGGGCCTTACGTGGTAAATAAAAAAAATAGGTTTTACTTCACATATCTGTCTCGTCGCAACAAAGGTGAGAACACATTTAGAGAAAAGTAATGTTTTACGCATCCCATCAGCCAGAGCCGGCCCAGCCACTAAGCGACCCTTGCAATTGCAAAGGGCCCCGTGGCCAGCAGAGGGCCCCCTAGAGTCACTGCTAGCGAGTGGGTGAAAAAATCATACATCAAAGGGGCCTCCAACCAAATTTTGCTTAGGGCCCCCAAAGGTCTAGGGCCGGTTCTGCCATCAGCACAGCGGCGTACCTTCAGCAGGACCGACTGACTCAGTGCCAGCCAACTCCGGATTCGACTCAACTCGTTGCGCATCGCGAGATCGGAATGCAGACTACGGGGCAGACTACGGGGCAGACGAGCAGAGAATTCGCTTCCTTCCTCCGCCGCGTCTGTTTCTCTACGTGAAACATTTTTTGAGACTTCATTAAATGTACTCTTAGTTTTTTTCGGTAAAGTCACGTAGGTAAAAAAAATGAAATCAAAATTAATAAAAATAAAATTAAAATGTGATTTTATTTTTATTAATGTTACAAAAATATCATTATTTTTTTATTTATTTTAATTTTTAAAAAATTTTATTAAAATTAATAAAAATCAAATGAAAATATTATTTTATTTTTATTAATTTTAATTTCATTTTTTTACCTACGTGACTTTACCGAAAAAACTAAGAGTATGATGAATCCTTGCAGTCACGAAAGCTTCAAATCTAGAATTCATTAAATGTGTACTGATGATTGATTGTGCTTTACACAATCCCATCAGCCGCACACCTTTCCAGGAGTGTATGATTGCGACAGCAGCGTTGGGTCAACACGAGCCAAACTCGGGATCCGGTTTTCGACATCCAAGGTCTCATCATCATCATCATCAGTCAGGGCCTGCAGTGCTTGAATCATCGCTGGTGGACTGCCTTTAACACACACGGGGTACCAATATCCCGAAAGCATCACGGAAAATATACCCATGGGCGTCTCTGCAAAAGGTCAAAGGTTCAAGCGGTCTCTCTGGTCACGGGCACGAGATGAAGACATTGCCAAAGTGGGGGGCGGGGTGGGGGGGACAGGGGGGGACAGGGGGGGACAGGGGGGGACAGAGGGGGGCAGGGGGGGGGGAGTCTCTGGGATGTAAACCACGGCAACATCATAGGTCATTAAACTATTAAACGATATTGTTTTTTTTTCGATTTAAAGCTTTCGTGACTGCAGGGATTCATCTTCTTGGTTCTTTCGGTAAAGTCACGTAGAAGGGAAATAATAAAATAATAAAAATGAAACATAAAATAAAATGCTCACGACGTGTCGGCCACAACGCAAGCAGCCGTCCTCAGGTGAAGAACAGGGCTGTCGGAAAGACCACGTCTGACGTTTCGGCCACAACGCAAGCAGCCGTCCTCAGGTGAAGAACAGGGCTGTCGGAAAGACAGCGTCTGACGTTTCGGCCACAACGCAAGCAGCCGTCCTCAGGTGAAGAACAGGTCTGTCGGAAAGACCGCGTCTGAATGAGCACCACCATCAGACGCTGTCTTTCCGACAGACCCGTTTTTCACCTGAGGACGGCTGCTTGCGTTGTGGCCGACACGTCGTGAGAATTGTATGATTTAATGTTTTATTTTCATTATTTTATTATTTCCCTTCTACGTGACTTTACCGAAAAAACCAAGAAGATTATATTGTTTTTATTTTACCAGGTAAGAGCCCACTGAGCTGCTATGTAGCCCTTTTTCAGAAGCGACCCTGGCCATCACAAATGATAGCTCTAACGAAGTGGACTCATCATCGCCATCATCGCGTAGAAATTTAAAGCAGCAAGCCGAATACTCTAAACGCGTGGCGTTGATTCTAAATTTTGGAGGGTAAAACCGGACGGCCCGTTTGGTTGGATGTCCACGTGTCGATGCTGGGAGCCACCCAATGCCTCTCTCGCTTTTGTTTTTAACTCTCAATTCTTGTATTTACTGGATCAATCAACAAAGTCATAGTTATCCAACAGTTGAACGTGTATGAGACACTCTCCGATTGCAAGAGTCATATGCCCGAGGTATAAAATCCCCCAAAAGTTACACATCAAAAAAAACAGACAAAAACAAGAAATGCAATGGTAGATAGATTTAAATTAGTATTCTTTTTTCCATTTAGATTGACAAAAAATGGTTTGACTTTAGATGCAGTAAATAACTGCCCTGCACTTTTACAAAGAATCTAAAAATACAAAATTCTTTATATTTTTCAAAAAGTGAAATACAGGTGATGCACATCAGAGCACAGATATGATCCTTTTCTTTTTTCACTGCTAGATCTTGTTGTAACTTGCACCGCATATTATCCTCTTCTGGGTGCTAATGTAAAGGACATTGTTTCCTCTGATGAAGGCATCACCATATTTGTTTTTTAGTTGTCCATTGACATACTCTTCCGTTTGCTCCAGGGCGATGTTCATGTAGCCATCGAGACAGGTCAGAACCCCTCTGTAATCATATTCTTAGGTTTTTTCGGTAAAGTCACGTAGGTAAAAATTTTAAATTAATAAAAGTAAAATAAAAATAAAATAAAAATCACGACGTTTCGGAGGCAACACAAGCTTCCGTCTTCAGGTGGAACCGTCACAGCACGATAGCTGTATCAAGTGAGAGCAATTCCAAGAAAACAGTCCTTGTATATATACTGGTTGAGGGTGGGAGGAGCCAAGGTAGGTCCTGGATATTATTTTTAAATCCTTTATATTAAGTTCGCTTGCGTGCTTGCTTGCTTGCTTACGACCGTGCAAACATTTCGGTCGTTTTTTAACCCACTTCCCGTGATCCAATCGAGCTGACATTTTGCACACAGACTCGTTGTGCGAGACAATTAATGTTCGTGAAATTTTTTTTCCAAAATTTTACACTGTTTAGGGAAAACAAATTAAATATTTAATTACCAATTGTTTAATACTGCAGACAATCATCTGACCCATAGGTGGCAGCCATCTCAAGCCAGAGGACGAGATGACTCTAGCCGCCACGCATATAAAAGATTTAGAGTGAAAAACTTTGTTTTTACGGGTTATACTTATTGTGAGATTCGGTGCGGCTGAAGCTAATCCACCCCTGAGTTGAGTTTCACCACCACCACAGGGCGACCGATGATCTGCTTCAGAAAATCACTTGGGGTTTGTTTCCGCAAACTCAGTGGTCAGAAGTCTTGGTAGGTTTGCGTTGTGACGAGCACAAGGCGATGTCGGGATGCCTCTCTCTACCCCCCTCTCCACTCTCTCTCTTTTTTTACTATCAGAGGAAACAAGGAGACGCTCGCTCTCTCCCTCCCGTCTCGAGCGTGCGGACAAATTCCATTGCCACTAAACCAGTCACAAAAACCGGATTTTCTCCCTCCACCACCACCACCGCTTAAAGGAGAAAAAAACCAGAGGAACGCGTTGCTTCTGAAACAATGGTGGTGGATTGTGAGGCACACCTGTGTCGGTGATGGTGGTGACGAGAGGAGAGAGAGAGGGGGTAGAGAGAGAGAGAGAAGGGGTAAGGAGAGCAGAACGTTACATATTTCGTGAAATCTTTCATTTAAAAAAGGGGGGGGGGGGGGTTACATAAAGCAAAGCATTAAAAAAGATAACGAAATGATGAACGAAGCAAAGTGCCGACTACACCGAGCATCTTCTTGTTTCCTCTGATCGTAAAAAAAGCAAAGGGGAGAGAAGGAGATGGGAGGGGAGATTGCGTAAACTTCAGCACACGACGGACTGCCGAGCCTGAAGAATGTTCAAATTGAGGTGTGTGTGTGTGTGCTTATCCGTGTCCTTTGTGTGAACATCGTCATTGGGGAGACAAAGGCGGCCGGGCGTGATGGCTGGCCACCCACCCAACTCGCGTGACCGTGTCGGCCCTCACAGAGGGCTGCTACTCGCTAACACAGCTTGCCCCGATAGTCTCTTAAAGGCTACACGGGGGATCTTTGTCTTTGTGCCGTAAAGTGGCGGGCCAGTGGCGCAGTGGTTAGCGCCGCACGGCGAACCACGCCGACCCGAGTTCGACAGTCACTGACAATGTGGCAGCCAATATTCGAACCCCGTCCTGGGCCACCGCACCCGTCTGGGTCGACTCGGCCTCAAATGAGTGCCCGGTTTTGGTGAGATAAAACATCGCCGTTTAGGGAGACAAAGGCGGTCGGGCGTGGTTGCTGCCCCCCCCCCTCCTTCCATCGTGTGCCACAGTGCCGGCAGCCTTCATCGGTGCTGCTGCCTGCTAATAGCAAGCGCTTGGCTTAACACGTAAAAGGCTTTCGCGAACATTATTATCCATAAGAGGTTTTTGGGTGAGATCGCGTAAATTTAATTGTTTTATTTATATTTTTTTATATTCTAATTAAGCGATATAACTCAAACCTCGAATATATGTGTTATATTTATTATATATACATTATAATTACGCGATCTAAACCCAACAACCTCAAATATATATTTGTTATATTATAAATCATATTTACGCGATCTAACCTAAACAAAAAATCCTCTTATGAGCGAGCACTTGCCCCGATGTATGTTGCAAGCTATGTGGGTGGAGGAGGGAGGGAACCTTTTGTGTGGCGTCTTCTCGACCCGCCTCCTCTCCTCCACCTTGCACCGTGTGCCAGCCCCTCTCTCTCCCTCCATCGTAGCAGCCGCTCGCTATCAGCACTTGCCCCGACATTCTGCTGTGTGGGTGGGGACGGGGAGGTTGGGGCTCGTTGGGTGTTGTACCTTTGTCTCTATCTTTGTGGGCGCGCGTGCGAAATACTTCCAAGTTCGCAGACCACAGCCGAGCGCTGCTGTAGCCCTTGTTGGTCGATCGCTTGGTTGATCGATTGATTGGTCGATTGATTGGTCGATCGCTTGGTTGATTGATTGGTTGATTGATTGGTCGATTGATTGGGCGATCGCTTGGTTGATCGTTTGGTTGATTGGTTGATTGATTGGCCGATCGATTGGTCGATCGGTTGGTTGATTGGTCGATTGATTGGTCGATTGATTGGTCGATCGATTGGTTGATTAGTTAATTGATTGGCCGATTGATTGGTCGATCGCTTGGTTGATTTATTGGTTGATTGGTTGGTCGATTGATTGATCGATCGCTTGGTTGATCGTTTGGTTGATTGGTTGATTGATTGGTCGATTGATTGGTGGACCAACTGGAGTTTGCTTTCATCGAAAACGATGGCCAGGGTCGCGGGACACCTGACGAGACTAATCACCGTGCCCTTCCTGCTGGCCGTCATCTGCATCAGCGTCTTCATGTTCAACTACTACAGTCAACTCACGCAAGTACACTGCACGTAAGATGAATGCATTATACAGACGCACACACACACACACATATAAAGGTACGATTTTTTTTGAAGAGCAAGTAACGTTTAGTAACGATTATCTGAGCTCGTCCTGGGTCTCCCCTAGGTCGACTCAGCCTAAAATGAGTACCTGGTGCGACGTGTAAACATCGCCAATAGTAGGGAGACAAAGACGGCCTGGCGTGATGCTGGTCACCCACCCCCTCGTGTGCCGTGCCGGCCTTCATCGGTACTACTCGCTTACAGGATCTTTGTCTTTTTGGTGGTGGTGGTGAGTGGGGAGCGGTGGCGCAGCGGTTAGCGCTACGCTGCTCTACGAACCCGGCGACCCGAGTTCGATTCCCGCTCACGACCACCAACACCAGCGGCGACTATCTGAACCGGTCCTGGGCCTCCCCTAGGTCGACTGAGCCTTAATGGAGTACCTGGTGTAGTGTGCAAACGTTAGCACTAGGGAGACAAAGGCGGTCGGGCGTGATTCTGGCACACCCAGGTTAGGCTCGCTGACAGCACTTGGCCCCAACAGTCTCTTAAAGGCTATACGGGGAATCTTTGTCTTTGTTGGTGGTAGTTGTTGTGGTTGACAGTGGTTCTTGAGTGGTGATTGTAGCTGTGCACATCATTGCCAATGCAGTAGCAGCAGCATCATCACCAGCTCATTGACTCGGACCCATCATCACATCCATCCGTCTGGGGTGGATACAATGAGCAACATACTGAGCCAAACTGCGCTCTTGATTTCACCAGGTGGACATTTATAGGAGCCAAATACTCTAAAACGAGATTGAAAACTAATTTCTTTAAAACTGCTTTTTGTGTTGAGTTTGTTGTCCGATAAGCACGGGTTGCTACGTACGCCGCGAAAGAACTGCATCACACGTACATACAAAGGCACGTTGATTCTAAATGTTGACGGGAAAAACGGAGGACCCGGAGAAAAATCGACGCGGCCACGGGGAAAGAGCGAGAGACACAAACTCCAAATATACAGCAGCAGGTGTCAGGGTCGGGATCGAACCCACGACCTCCTGTAGACCAGGCGACATAGCTCACATCTAGCCACCGTGATGATGACGAGAGAGAGACACAGGCAAATTCCAAATATACAGCAGGACTCAGGGGTCGGGATTGAACCAACGACCTCCTGTATACCAGGCGACGGAGTTAACATTTCCTAGCTACCGTGATAACACTGTGTAACCATTTTTGGGTACTAAGTGTTATTTCCTAATTGCTTAAGCCTCAAAAGTACAAAAAAATGGCTATTATTCAGGACAGTGATATTTTGAAATTTACCTATTTTCAATGAGAAAACGGGCGAAATGGTGTATTTTCGCTCACATCAAGTCGGAAAAACAACATATGAATCAATATGAACATGCATTTATACTAAAGTAATACAAAATTTACTACAAAAAATTTAAAAGTGAGTAATTTTTCGAGATTTACGATTATACTGTAAATCACTTTCACGAATCAGCATGAGCAATTACGAAATGACACTCACTACGCAGGAACAAAACTTGTGTTACATAGTGTAATTAGAGAGACAGACGCAAACTCCAATATACAGCAGGTGGCAGGGTTGGGATCGAACCCACAAACATCCTGTATACCTGGCGAGGTAATTCACATCTTCTAGCCAACGTGATGATGATGAGAGAGACACACACACACTCCAAATATACAGCAGCAGGCGTCAGGGTCGGGATCGAACCCATGGCCTCCTGTATACCAGGCGAGGTAGTTAACATCTCCTAGCCACCGTGATGATGATGAGAGAGACACGCAAACTCCAAATATACAGCAGCAGGCGTCAGGGTCGGGATCGAACCCATGACCTCCTGTATACCAGGCGAGGTAGTTAACATCTCCTCGCCAAGACACAATGTGGGACACCACGGCGTCCCACATTGGCTGTGTCTTGTCCTCTATCGCATTGTTCATGGGGGTTACGAGGGTGGTGTGGGGGGGTCTACGGATGACATGCCCCTACTTTACAAATGTAAATCATCATCATCATAATCATGTTGTGTTTCTTCAATCTTCGTTGAATTTCATCGAAATCGTCCAACAGTTTCCGTCGTGACTCGGCAAAGGTGACCTGGGGAGTCTTTGTCCCCCGCGGGCGATGATAAAAATTCCCGGGGCTAATGATCATCATCGCACCAGCCAATGAATCATCGTCTCGTTTAATCATTAGCACCCGTCTCCTGTAATATTCGTTACGCAATCAGTTGCACAATGCTCAAGTTGTGTTCATAAGTGCGGCGGAGGTAGTGGTTAATGTGTGCTGTCTCTAGTGCTGCTGATGCTGATGATGAGACACTGAATATCGAAACCGGCTCTTGCCGAAAACATTTGGGCAGTTCACCAGCGTCGGTTCAAGCAATAAGCCCCTGACTCTTCACCAGCGTCGGTTCAAGCAATAAGCCCCTGACTCTCTATGAAGTTGTGTTCATAAGTGCGGCGGAGGTAGTGGTTAATGTGTGCTTACTCTAGTGCTGCTGCTGCTGCTGATGATGGTGAGACACTGAATATCGAAACCGGCTCTTGCCGAAAACATTTGGGCAGTTCACCAGCGTCGGTTCAAGCAATAAGCCCCTGACTCTCTATGAAGTTGTGTTCATAAGTGCGGCGGAGCTAGTGGTTAATGTGTGCTGACTCTAGTGCTGCTGCTGCTGCTGATGATGGTGAGACACTGAATATCGAAACCGGCTCTTGCCGAAAACATTTGGGCAGTTCACCAGCGTCGGTTCAAGCAATAAGCCCCTGACTCTCTATGAAGTTGTGTTCATAAGTGCGGCGGAGCTAGTAGTTAATGTGTGCTGACTCTAGTGCTGCTGCTGCTGATGGTGAGACACTGAATATCGAAACCGGCTCTTGCCGAAAACATTTGGGCAGTTCACCAGCGTCGGTTCAAGCAATAAGCCCCTGACTCTCTATGAAGTTGTGTTCATAAGTGCAGCGGAGCTAGTGGTTAATGTGTGCTGACTTTAGTGCTGCTGCTGCTGATGATGGTGAGACACTGAATATCGAAACCGGCTCTTGCCGAAAACATTTGGGCAGTTCACCAGCGTCGGTTCAAGCAATAAGCCCCTGACTCTTCACCAGCGTCGGTTCAAGCAATAAGCCCCTGACTCTTCACCAGCGTCGGTTCAAGCAATAAGCCCCTGACTCTTCACCAGCGTCGGTTCAAGCAATAAGCCCCTGACTCTTCACCAGCGTCGGTTCAAGCAATAAGCCCCTGACTCTTCACCAGCGTCGGTTCAAGCAATAAGCCCCTGACTCTTCACCAGCGTCGGTTCAAGCAATAAGCCCCTGACTCTTCACCAGCGTCGGTTCAAGCAATAAGCCCCTGACTCTCTTCTTGGTTCTTTCGGTAAAGTCACGTAGAATGGAAACAATAAAAATAATAAAATAAAACATAATTAAATAATTCTCACGACGTTTCGGCCACAACGCAAGCAGCCGTCATCAGGTGAAGACCAGGTCTGTCGGAGAGACAGCGTCTGAATGAAACAGCACCATGTTTGGAGCGGATATTTAAGCTGGGTTGGAAGGGGGGGGAAAGGGCGCCTTGACAAAGTAATTTGCATATCAAGAGGAATTTAGCATATTTATGGGCATATTTATGGGAAATGCAGGTATGTGATTAGTACTACTTATGCCCGTGCATTATGCACGACTAACAGCTGATGAGACACTGAACGTGGAAAGAGAGTTTTTGCACACATTGAACACATTTTTCAAGGAAGCCTGACTGCTGCTGCTGATGTGCCACTGAATGTCGAATGCCGGTCCGGAGTTTTTCGAATGC